TGGTCCCAGACATGTACCAGGCCAGGTATACTCATACTGGTCCCAGATATGTACCAGGCCAGGTATACTCATACTGGTCCCAGATATGTACCAGGCCAGGTATACTCACATTGGCTCCACTGATGGGAAGAACAGAAAAACAGAATATTTTTTAAATAATGAGAAACTATGAAGTGTCTATTCTTGTGCTGTGGGTATATGGTCTACTTACACATTTTTTTATATTTCTATTGTCAATTTGCACTGGGTCAGGTGGAACTACATTGCTCTATCTTGCCTAGAGTTTAGAAGAATGAGAGGGAACCTCATTGAAATGCACAAAGCTCTGAACGATAGGGATGGTTACATCTTTGTTTTTGATGTAACATACCAATAACATACAAACGTTCGTGCACCAATAAACAATGTACAGGAGTAACAGACCGTTATCACTGCTGCTGGTCCAGATCATCCAACAAACCCTGGGACTAATTAATCCTAATCTGCGTTAGGATGTAATGATTGACAGCAGTTTAAGATATGCTCTCTACAAACCTCACATTATAACAGAGTGGGCGCTGAGGGACTGTTTCTGCTGGATGGGAATCTAAGAATGTAACTCAAGAAGCTAATCATTTGTAACTGAGAATGAGGAGACATTTTGAGGAGCGCTCCACTCTGGAGGGTCATGGGTACTTAGTCATCGACTTTCTTCAAAAGCGAGATTTTTGGATTCAAAAGGATTCAGGGGATAACCTGAGAAAATGTGTTTGGTGTAAAGGTCAGTCAGGAACATAGTGAATGATGGAGCATAGTCCTTGGACAGAATGGTTTTTCTCTATCACAGAGAGGGTGATGGAGCATGCTCCAGACAAAGATCCAGATAATAAAGGTATCAAGGCATCAGAAGATCATGTGAGAGAATGGTTGTCGAAGTGGCAGATTAGCTGTGATCTAGTTGGGAAGTCGAATAGATTGAAGGAGTTGAACAGTATCCTCCTGTTCGTGCTCCCTATATTTCTACGCCTGTTCCTCTTTCTTACAGTATGACGTTAAATCCTGCAGCAGGACAGCTGTACAGCTACCAACCTGAGGTGGTAACGCAGCTGTTTGAGAGCTAGAACATCATCCAGGCTGGCTTCATTACTCGTACTCGTCTTCCTGTGACCAGGACAGAGCAGCTGCAGGTTTGGAGGCCAGAGATGGAACATAGAACATAGAACAGTACAGCACAGTATTAGATGTAGACACTTGGTGGATCTGCAAGGCAGGCTGGAGCTGGAGAGGATTCTGTTGGGAATGGAAGATTTGGGTTACAGGGAGAAGCTGGGTAGGCTGAGAATTTTTTCACTGGAGTATAGGAGGTTGAGAGGTGACCTTATAAGAGGTTTAGAAAATCATGAGGGGCATAGATAAGGTTAATAGAAGGTGTCTTTACCCTAGAGCAAGGGATTTCAAGACTAGGAGGCATATTTTTAAGGTGAGTGGAGAAAGGTTTAAAAAAGACATGAGGGGCAACATTTTTTACACAGAGAATGGTTCATGTTTGAAATGATCTACCAGAGGAAGTGGTGGATGTGGGTACAGTTACAACATTTAAAAGACATTTGGATAAGTTCATGGATAAGAAATGTTTGGACGGATATGGGCCAAGCGCAGGCAGCTGGCACTGATTTAGTTTGGGAACTTGGTCAACATGGACTGGTTGGGCCGAAGGGTCTGTTTCTGCGCTGAATGACTCTATGGCTCATTGACACTTCTTCTCGTCCTAACTTTAGAGGATCGTGGATGAAATTGAACAAAGAGCCCCCCAGCTGAGTAGCTGTCAGGAGACCCTGAGGGAGTGTGTTCAAGTCTTCAAGGTAAGAAGTTGGGGGTGAGGGGGTTGCATGGGGGGCCTGAGACTCATCCATCCCAGTGGAGTTGATTTAAAATTACAGACATCAGGGCGAGTGTGTCAGCACCATCCCTTGTCAATGATGATGTCAGATGGGCTTCTGGGCAGATAGTTCAGGATCTCGAAGGAGTGAGGCTTAACATAGGGTTCTCCTCAGGGTCTTGGTAACACCCTCTATCACACCATTGTAACCTGTAACCAGTCGTTAACAGGCACTTGCTAACTACAAGAGACTCTGC